GATCATCCCCCTCTACTCAGCCCTGGTGAGGCCACATCTGGAGTACTGCGTCCAGTTCTGGGCTCCSCAGTACAAGAGGGATGTGGAGCTGCTGGAGAGAGTCCAGCGCAGGGCTACGAGGATGATCAGDKGCCTGGAAYATSTGYCCTATGAGCAAAGGCTGAGAGAGCTGGGTCTGTTCAGCCTGGAGAAGAGGAGGCTGAGGGGGGACCTGATCAGCGTGTATAAATACCTCAAGGGTTGGAGGGAGGAGGAGGGGGGCAGCCTCTTTTCAGTGGTGGACAGCGATAGGACTAGAGGAAATGGCTTCAAACTGAAGCATCGGAAGTTCCACAGGAACTTAAGGAAGCATTTCTTCACTGTGAGGGTGACAAAGCACTGGAACAGGCTGCCCAGAGAGGTTGTGGAGTCTCCTTCTTTGGAGATCTTTAAAACCCGTTTGGATGCAGCCCTGTGCCACGTGCTCTAGGTGACCCTGCGTGAGCAGGGGGGTTGGACTCGATGACCTCTGAGGTCCCTTCCAACCTTGGGCATTCTATGATTCTGTGATATGGGTGAGGTAGGAGTAGCCAAGTGCAGGTAACTCCCGCATTTGTCCAGTGTATTTGCACCTGCACAGTACACGCATGGAACAGTGGGCATATATGTCACCAACAGCATAAGGACCACCCTGCGCTCATTCCTTCCACATGCTGACAGGGACAGAATATAAATAGGTTTGTGCCTACCAAGGTCAAAGTAAAACTATCTAAACTCTCATTGCAATTTTCAACGTACTGCAGCTAAATTAAAAGCCAACCTATAGTTACAAAGTTTGGCCTGTCATTCTATATCATTGAGAAGAATTGATTGCCCTATGGGTGACTTAGGTGTCCTTTGTCACAGAACATACTTGATGCATTCATTCCGCTGTAGGTGTTTTTCGGTAAAAGTAAAATCTCCACATTTCTTTATTCCCATTGAGGAAGTAGAATCAGCATTTATATATGAGGATCATCAACRATCCAATAGTTATTCCTCCTAGTTAAGGAGTTAATTTCTCTCTTGTTTTGGTTTTCTCAGGTTCTCCAAGCCGGCACCAATGTTCTTGGATGATTCCTTCAGGAAATGGGCACGTATCAGGGACTTTGTACCTCCCTTTGGAATTAAAGGACAAGGTATGAGCAAAATATACAGCTGTTGAAAAAGAAGGTGGTTCTTGCAGTTGTGTGCCCTGCCATCTTTTGTTTTGTTTTGAATGCCCGGTTGATCCTTTAGGCTGTGCTTTTTTCCCATTCTGGGACAGCACTGTACAAGATGCTCTGAGAAACCAGGCTTTCCATGGGTGAAGGGTGGAGCTGAGGCTGGCCTTTTGGTTTAGTGTGTGGGACCATGTGATTCTGACTTTTGAGTGAGGTCCGACAGGTTGTAGAAGCTCCGTTTTTGGAGATCTTCAAACCCGCCTGCATGCCACCCTGTGCCATRTGCTCTAGGTGTCTCTCCCTGAGCCGGGGTTGGACTACACGATCTCTCGAGGTCACTCCCAACCTCAACCATTCTGTGATTCCACGACATAGCACCATGTTCTGGAAGGAACATTATGATATTAACGACTGCTTTAGTTGTAGGTCCTGGTTGACAGGTCCTGGCTGTTTTGAAGTACTTTTTTATCAGTATTTCTTTGATGAACAGGTATCAGTGCATTTTTCTAAAGTTTTGGAACACCTGGGTTGACCATTGGTGCAAATTATCACTTTCCTCTTGTATCATCTAATTGCATTATTACTTTAAAATCTGCTGCTTGTAGTCTTATGTAACAAATAGGAAAAATCTATTGCTTTGGTGTTGACCTGCTGCGATGCTCTGTCCTCCAACTGGAGCATGGTGGCAGAGGCTGCACCTCRCTGTGCTGCAGTAGGGCAGGAGTAATGCTGGTGGTGAGAGCAGCAGGTAGCATCTCCATGCAGGTGAAACAGGTCACTGTCCTGCATCCTTYGCCTCCAGATGAAGAGTGGTGGGGCAGAAAGGCTCTACTCACACCAGTGACTAGCTGCTGCCTTCCAGAAGCCCCATTTATTTTCATGATTACAGATGGCTCCTCTTGGAGTTAAAATATCTGCTGGAAATGGGGCTGCACCCTGGTAAGCTCAGGTCTGCACCCTGGTAGCTCTCTAGCCTTGGAAGCAGATGTGGCAGTTTGCAGAACAATCTCTGATTAAAGCAAGGACTTTCCTGACACATTTCTTCTGGCTTGCATTAATCCACTACTTTTCTTTGCATGTGTCCTTGCCTTGTCCTGTCAGTCTCTTGCAGCTCATTAAGCACCTGATTACTGTCCTCTGAATCAACCAGCAGAGTTATCAGCAGAAACCATGAAAAATAACAATGGCAGCACAAATGGCAGTGCTATTTTGGGCAAGTGTTGGCTTCCAAGAGGCACACAAGGTGTACGAGGCCAGGGCAGGCTGCCTGACCAGGGTGAAGGTAGGATTTGCAGGTCACACACGAGGTCAGCTAGACCTAGGAAAAATCATTCCATTAAATGGAATCCAAATGGACAAATTCACCAAAAGGAGATGACGGAACGGCTCTGGCAGCCTTCTTCCTGAGTGTGTTGCCAGCTTTTATCACCACTGCAATGTTATGTAAATCTGGTGCTTTGTATTGGATTTCCTCAGTTAAAAAGAGAAATAAGAAATTGCCATTATTTAAATGGTTGAGAGCTGAAGCCATGGGACGGAAACAGTTGAATAGTGGTTTTTTTTTTCTTTTTCTTTTTTTCTTTYTCCTTTTTTTTTAATGCCCTCCTGGGACTARATTTTGTGCCAAGTTTCAGTCTGGAGCAATTTCTCTGTGTGGGAGGGTTGAATTATAAATTGCTGTAACCCAGGATTTCTAATGGCTGTGCTGACAGGCTGCGAGTCCTAGCGATGCGAGTGGCGCCCTTTCATGTTACACATCGCTTGCAATTCGTGCATCAGTCTTCTCCGGGTGGCCCATGGGACACGTTCTGGCTGAGCTGAGTGATTTGATGATGGGATCAGCACCTCATTAAGGCTTTCACTCAGGGCAATCTAATGATATCCAAACAACTGACCAAGGCAGGCGGTGTGGAGATAAGTCACGTGCTTGTGCAAGGTGAAGGCTCTCAGAGCTGGGATGTGCATGGGAAAAGAAAAAAGGGTAGTTGGGATGGTTGASCAAGTGTGGACAGATGTGCCGTGTTGGAATAAATGGCTCGGGAGTTTTGCACCGTGCATTAGAAAGTCCTGTCACACTAACAGCTGGGATTTCCTGCAGGATTCGTGCCCGGAGAGGTGTTTGGTGTTTAGAGACACCAGCTCTAACTGGGTTGGTGACTGGAAGATTTTGCTGAGGAATTTGAGTATCACCTAATCTTCTCAAGTTACTGTGAGCTAGACCAACTGCAAAAGGACATTTTTTGTGAACTACCATTACAGGATGAGCTCACTTATTCACTCATTTAGTAACACTGTGTATTCCAAGAAACTTCTAGAAACTGCTTCCAGATAGTTTGAATGAAAAATAGTTAGGATGTCAAGAGATTCCTAGTAGCTTGGAAGATATCCTTCCATTTCTGCTTCCTACTATTAAATTTTTTCTCTCTTCTCCAGGCTTTTAGCTGAAATGTTTTTGATACTCATAGCTGCTTCTCCTTGCACTATCTCTGGAAAAGAAAAGCTGAGAAAAGGCCTTTTTCATCTGTCACTTGATGTTACAATTTCAGTCTTGCGGTATTTCAGAGAAAAGAGCTTCTGAGCAGTGCAGTTTACAGAACTGCACTAATTTGGAGTAAAATATCTATATAAATCACATGTAAAAGAGTAGAAATGGCTCAGAAATTTCCAGGGCTGTGGCTTTTTAAAGACATACATATCAAAGAGAAGGCTTTATGCTGATCATCTGGACACAGTTCATCAGAAACCTTTATTTTCTTGCCCCCCACATCTGATTGAAAAGACAATTCTTCCATCTCCAGATGCTAAAACATATGCAGTACAACATAGGAAACTCAACACTGAGCTTTTCTTCTTGAAAGARCACTCCTTTTTTTCCCCCATTCATTTCCTGATTTGGCCCCCATTTAGTTTATTGTTGAGAATATAGCCAAAGTGAGGCGAATCCTTCACACACAATGAAATTCGCCAACTTGGAGCTGCGGAGAAGATCAAACCATAACAAGTTGTTGGAACTCCAAAAACTACAAATGCCCAGATGTCCTGCGGGAGGCATCTCAACCCACTGAGCACCCTCCCATGTCCCTGGCTGCTCTTTCGGTTTTCCMAGCACCAACCACGCTTGCTCTGGCAGCCTTTCCTGTGAGGAACAAGGAGACCGCGGCAGTGTCAACCTGCTTAGCTAGTTGTATGGTGAGCTTTGTCTGAATTAAAATTTCTTCTTCTTTGTATTTGCATCCCTTTCTAGTAACTGCTTCCATCACTGGAGCTTATTGGAGGGATGAATAAGCATATGTTGTCCATATTCTTCCAGAGATTCTCCAGCATGCTTTCAATATTAAATTTGTTAAAGAATAAGCAATAGAAACATTGCTTATTGTGTTGGTTAGATTATTAATCACAGAAGGCCTTCTCCCTAAATTTCCTTTTGTAGCTAAAGCAAAAAGAAAGAGGTGTTCAGAAATAAGCAGCAAACAAAACTGACTATTAATAGGATTTTTCACTAGATACGGGTTAAAGAATATAAAAGGCTTTCATGAGGAAGAGTAGCTGATATCTGGCATCCTCTGTGTAATGGGCAGGGGAGAGTTGCTGTAGTGTTTTGGAACTTAAGCAAAACCACATGGCATAGCATACACTTAAACTCAACAAACACAATCCCTTTTTGCAATGTCTCCTCCATGCATTTAGTCAGTAACTGTGTCACTGCTGAGCAATGGTTGTAGGTCTTCACTTCTACCTCTGCTCCAGCTAGAACATTGTTAAGCAGAGAGGCTCCTTTTTCTGGTTCTAAATGAGTTTCCCTTTGGAAAGGGATATTTGTTTCTTATGGAGCGACTGTCCTGTCACTATCCAGAATTTTCATCCCATCAGGGCTTCAAAAGCAGGTTTTCCCCACTGTACTGAAGAATGTTAAGAACATTTTGAAGTGCTACAGTTTTGTCAGMTGCTCTATGTAGTACTGGTCGGGAGACTTCATGATGCAAGAGAGACRTCTGAAATTAGTGACATACAAAGACGATTAAGGAACTGAAACATCTATCTTATGAGGAAAGATTAAGCGAGCTGGGCCTGTTTAAGCTAGAGAAGAAAAGATTAATTTAGAGGGGATCTTATCAATATGTGCAAGTACCTGAGGAGAGGTTTTAAAGGGAATGGCACCAAACTCTTCTCAGTGATGGCCAGCRATAAAACAGGGATAATGGGATAAACAGGGATAAAAAAGGGATAATGGGTACAGACTAAAACACAGGAAGTTTCATGGTCATATGAGAAAGAGCTTCTTTACTGGAAGGTGACAGAGCCCTGGAACAGGCTGCCCAAAGAGGTTATGGATTCTCCTTTCTTGGAGATAGTTGAAAGCTGCCTGGGGGTGACTCTGCGCCACATGCTCTGGGTGTCCCTGCTTGAGATGTTGACCTCTAGAGGTCCCTTCCAACCCCAACCATTCTGTGTGATTCTGTGACACGGAAATCAAGTCTGCCCAGAGCACCAGCCCTAGTAGGTACATTGTGCAATGGTTAACTGTTCTCATACTGGGTTTTATGTGGTTGTTTTCCTTTCTGTGAGTGCTTCTGGGAAGAACTCTAGTTCTGTGCTGCTTAGCTGTGGTTTCATTAGTCTCTTGGGACAGAGGTCATTCACCTTCAGTGAAAATGTAGAGTTTTCAGGCGTGCAAAAGTTGGCACGTCAAAATGCTATCGGGAGAAAATCTCTTTTCTTTCCCTTCATGTTCTGTTCTTGCATAGTTTTCTTCCTTCCACATCAGCTTTCTTGGCCTGAGCAATATTTTATCTTTGAGAAAACATATTTGTTTGGACATYGCACTTGAAATTTATAACTGGCCCAAAGAAAAACTATTAGAAAAGTAGATCTTTGCCAACCTACTGTGGGAGCTCTTTATAGAGGCTGTAGTACCATGTGCAAATGTCTTCCCCCTCTTTCGACTGGTTCTTCTAGATAATGAAATTATGTCTTTT